ATAGTTGATTTAAAATAAACAATATATTATTTCTATTTTTGCCAAAGTCTTTCTTTCAAATCTTCTTTCTAAAAAGATAAATAATTATAGTAATACTAATTTAATAAATATAGTTTTTCTTTGTCGAATTTTTACATACTAGAACCATGTGTTTCATTAGTTTCTTTGTCTGTTTTTCCTTAAAAATTAGGAGGTTTTCAGACTTCATGCAATTCTTTGTGCTAAAATTAGCTTTGCATAGTAAATTGTTCATCCTTTTTCTAAATTTGTAAATCACACCATTATTGTTTATGATTTTCTTTGTTTATACCATATGATAGTTTTCTTTGGTATGAGAAAATTTAACCATTGTTGTAATTCTCATTTATATTCTTGTTCTTCAATGTGTTTTGTTTTTCAAAAATTTCATATACAAATCTTCTTTTTGGTACTATTCCTTTCTATAATTCCTTTACGTTAGAAACTTTTTTGTTTAATACTTTTTTCTTTTCTTTTCTTCTTTAGTTTTTCAATAACTTCTCTTGTCTTGCTTGTCTTGTTTCTTTGTTTTCTTTGTCAAAGGTGGGTATACTTTTCGGACTGTGTACTAAACCTTGTTAGCTTTACACTTTCGGGACAACCGCTGGTCTTCCATGTCTGGGTGAGCTAACAATCCTTCATACTTGGATGATTGATTTTTCTTCATAACTTGTATGATTGATTGCATGGCCCCGGTGAATACTTTTCTCTTTATTGTTTTTTCTCTTTTTTTCTTTCTTTTGATACTCTCATCTTTAAGTATATTCATCTTGGAAAAAGTATTTTTTTTCTAACAACACTTTCGTCAAAACTTAGATAACACGAACAACTAGAAGTTAGTCCATTCTGGCTATTATCCAGGAGTCGCAGAATCAAGTGACGAACCTCTAGGCATAGCTACAAAAGCATGATCCGGTTGAACTAGTTTAGCAGAATTATGAAAATAATATTTAGTTGGAGAGGTTGCGGTTAGAAAGAAATAGGTTGAGAGTTCAGGTTGCAGACTTGGAGATGATAAATGATAATTTGGAGATAGAGATTTTAGTGTTGCAAAGTATTTTAGAAAACAGGCATGGTTTTTCTTAGATAGAGTTTGTAGTTATTCCAGTTATCATTTTCTTTTTGTACTATATTTTGTTTTATTTTTCCAATAAATACTTTTAAACTTTAAATAAAACTATTAAATAAAATATTTTAATTGCTCTAAGTTTAATAAAATTATTAACTAAAATTGTCTAAGTATAAGGAAAAAAAAATAAATTTATATTCTCTATTGTTTCTTATTTTAATAAACTTTTAAATTTTTCTGGAGATAGCTTATTCAAGCTACTAAAAGTAATATATTTGCTGGAGTAAAGCTGTGAAAGATTCCAGCATTGGAAAACTTAATATGCTCATTCGGCACACTTCTAGCTATTCATAGTTCGGTGAGATCCTAAAGAGTCTGTAAATAGCTTCTGAATTTCCTTGGTAGTTTTAAAATTTTCTTTAAAATCTTCTTGAAGCTTGCCCAAATAGTAACAAGCTTCTAACGTTCGGACTTGCTTTTCTCTTTGGCTTCCACATGTTTCTTTGGCTAGACAGGAAATAATTTCACATGTTTGATCCTTCCAACTTGTGGTTACAAGAGGGTCAGTATGAAAAGGGGTAATCTGGTTCTTCAAAGTTAAATCTTTCATAATTTGTATCTGTGTTGTTAGGATTCAAGTTAGAAGCCAACCTTGGATCTGGTGCTGGAATAAAAATATAAACTTCATTAGCAATTGAATTCGGTTTCGAGTTGGAGACAATAACTTCGTTAATTAGTTTTGGTTCTGGGTTGGAGATAATAACTTCATTAGCAATTGGATCTGGTTCTAAGTTAGAGACAATAACTTCATTAGCAATTTCTTGCAATGAAACAAAATTATTTAAGGTTTGTTCGGTAGTGTAATCATCAAAAAAGTTATTTTGAAAAGTGTTTTGCATCTGGTTTTCATCTTCTGTAGGAATTTGTAAAGGGTTTTTAGTTTCAGTAGGAATTTGTAAAGAGGCTACAATGTTCGTTCTATTTGTTATAATAGCTTGATTTCCTGAGATAACAAGGCTATTATTTTGTGATAAAGGGTTCTGGTTTCAAAATATAATTAAATCAATAAGTGTAGCTAAAACTTGGGGCTTAAATGCAGATAGATTATTCATTTTTTTTTTTTTAAAAAGAAGAAGAAGATATTTGTAATGTTTTGAAGGATTTGTTTTGTTTAATTTGGAGAGGAAAAAGGCAAGGTTTATATATTTTTGAAGCAGATAACATCTAGCAAGAAAACTTAGCAACAAGGCTTGGCAATAAGGCTTAACAATAAGGCTTAATGATAAAGCTTTGCCTATAGGGCTTGAGCTTGAAAATCAAATTTGATGATAGGATAAGAAAATCATTCTTGGCTTGTACTTGATTTCTTTATTTAGTAGAGATATTAAGATACTTGTTCTATTTATTATTGTTTCTTGGTTTTCCGAGTATCGGGTTTCGGTGTCAACGAGTGGTTGTCATGTGAATTTTTTGGTTCTGTTTGATTAGTTTAGTTGTGTAAAAATTTTGTTCATTTTAGTAATTCAATTTGGTAGTAATTGCATGAGTGCTACTACTATCTTTGGTAATTTTTGAATCTTTGTTTCGTATAGATAGTTTGATAAAATTGTTTAACTTGTTCTTGTCTATATTTTTCAATTTAACTTCAAACATGTCTTATTTTCTGTCTTCACATAATTTTAATAGTGATAGTGATGATGATAATAATAATATTAATAATAATAATAGTAACAATAATAATGATACTTGGTACATATGTGTATATATATACAGATATATATATATATATAAATTAATTTTGATATTGTATCTATAGGTGGTTGCAGCAACAAGCAGAAAACCAGGCTGCAACTATTGCAGAGCTTGACCATATGGCTCTTGACTATTTGCAACAATTCATTCGTCAGGAGCAAGAAGCTTTTATTAAAGAATGAGATAGGTATCGAACTTGGTTTGAAGAGCATGATTCTGCTTATTGAGATCTTCTTCGTCGGTTCGAGGAAGAAAGAAAAAGAAGAAGAAAAAAAGATAATAATAAAAGAAAAAGGGTGGAGGAAGAAAATGAGAGAAGAAGAAGAGGCTTGAGAATTTTTGTATATAGAATAGTTTCTCTTTTCATTGTCTTTTTCTATTTTCTTAAGATTTTTCTTTTATAAATAAAAATAAAAACAGAATTTTGCTTTTTTGAGTTTTTCGTCTTCTTTTAGAATTTTCTCTGAAAATTTTTATTTTCCGGTAATAAATTTGTAATATTTTTTTAAGGTTGTCCAATAATTATTATCTAGACAACGGTCTTTTTCTTTGTCTTGGTAGATTTTTCTAGACTTCTAGGTTAATTTCGGTCAGTTCAGCATTTGTGACGTAGCTCACATGATTGATGCCAATAAATAAATAACTAATCATCTACTAATTTTAATTTTCTTTCTTTCTTGCAGTCTTTTTGCTCTTTTTTTTTTTTTTTTAAAGGTTCACTTTTTTTCATATCAGATCTAGTTCTTCATTTCTGGTTATTCTTTCGGTTTTTCATTTTTTTTTTAAACTTAGGTTCTTGTTGCTAATGGCTTCGTCTTGTCGTCGTGGCTTTGGATCAGATAGAGCATTTCCTTTCAATGATGTCTTTAGTTACTAAAGACTTAACATAGAGTTACTTGGCTATTAGTCCTTCGGGTAGGGCTTTCGTTGCTTAAACCTAGCTTTTCTGATTTCGGACTTAAGATTTCTTTCACTATTTCCACGTTGGTTCCAAATCTTTGCTTAGATCTTGTAATATTAATGTAGATCTGTAGTGGCTTTGATATCTGTACGACATTTGGAGGAGTATTAGTCCTTTATTTAGTTTAGTTTTTGTCTTCATATTACTTATTATTTTAAATTTTATTTTCTTTTTTTTTTTTAGCATTCAAATCGTTATTGTTCAGTTTTGTCATTGTTCTTGAAGTTAGAGTCATCGGGAATTGTCATTTGTTCTTGGTGTCGTTATCATAAGTGCAAGACATCTTTATCTTTTTGTTTTTAGCGCCATTGATATTATTGTCGTCGTTTGGAGTTGTAGAGATTGTCTTGTTTTTGGCGTCGTTGTCGTGAATGCCATGTTGCTTTCAAATGTTTTTCATTATGTTTTTGGAGTTATGATAGATATTGTCATTTCAGTATTCTCTTTTTTTTTTGATTTCATCGGGTTTCAGTATTTTATGTTGATTCTTTTTCATATAGGTTCCTTGTTGGTAATACTAATATGTTTTTGATTGGACCATATTAGTAGGTTATTCTATTATTGCTAAGACATTAAAAAAATTTTTTTTTTTTTTATCGTTTTTATTTTGTCGTTGGTTTTAGAGTTGTCTATTTTGTGAATCGTCATTGTCATCATAGGTGCCATATTGTCATACTCAATTTTGTTATTTTTCCAATATTTGTTTTAGAATCATCACTATTTTGAAATTATCGTTGTATATTCAGTATTCATTCTGAGAATCGTTGTCTTGATTGGAGTCTTGTAATCTATAAATATAGAGATGCATATATCTATTTATGATTTGCTGTTTTCTAAATTTGTTTTAGTTTATTTGCTTTTTTTTTTTTTTTTGTATAGCTACTATTTAAACATCACTAGATATCAATTTCAAATGCATAACCAGGTTCTTTCTTCTAAAGGTCAGGCCTGGTTTTAGATTATAAGCTAAAACAAAACTGTAGATTATAATGGCTTAAAAATGTATCCTTTTTATACATTGATTGTTTTGTTGCTACTTTTTTTTTTGTATTGTTTTTTTTTTTTTTTTTTTTTTTTTTTTTAGTTTTACAGGCAAGAATTTCAGGATTGTCTGTATTTTATTCTACTAATTTTTTTCCTAGAGTCAGGACAATAGGTAACAGATATGGAGCGCATATCGAATAGTCAGATTTTAAATTTATGCTGGAATTGGAGCATTGGGAGAAAAGCTCAGAAAGGTCTGTAGAACTTGCTCCTTTTCAGGTCTTGTTCTAAACTTTTCTCAGTAAATTGGCTAGGTCGATAGTAGCCATTTCTCAAAGATAAGTATCAGGGCTTTCTTCTTTAACATTTTTTTTTTTTGTTTACTTAGCTTTCTTTTCAAGTTTTTACATTCTGGGAGTGTTTTACTAATAAGATTTTTTTAGATTTTATTCTTTGTAGCCGATTTCTCCTAGATGATCAATATAAAGCTCCTAGTCATCTAGTAGGATGTAGATAAGATATTAGTTGATTACTAATATATAGCTGAATTTGAAGAAAAGAATATATAGTGATTGGTGATCAATGTTATCTAGAAAGAATGATTCAATGAGCATCATTTTGGCGATCAACAAATCTTTAGAACTTCTCCAGATAGAACTTCTAAACTTTGATCATTGCCACTAGGTGTGGGATGGGGCTTCTAATAGGTAGGCTTTATCGAATAGTTAGGAATAAGGGTTTAGCAATAAATAAGGTTATGTTGTGTATTAGTATTAAGATAAAAGGAATTTGGATAATTGAAAATAGGTTTATAATAGGGGTTATGGATTTAGTATTAAATAAGATTGGTGATGAAGGATGGTTTATAATTAAGGATAGGTTGAATTCTGATTAAAATAGATAGAACAGGTTTAATTGGAGATAGAGGAAATAGGATAGTTTATAGTTAGAAATAGGTTTTTGGTTAAAGTTAGGGAATCAGGTTTAATTTAGAATTAAGTTAAAATTAGAGATAGAATAGGTTAAATTAGAGTATTAGGGGAAATAGGAACGGGTTGTAGTTAGAAATAAATAGTATTAGGTTTTAAGGGTAGAGGTAAGTAGGACAAATCCATGTTTGAGATAAAATGGATTAGATAAATTGGATAAATAAAAAAAAATAGATGAAGCAAATTGGGGTTAAATGAGTTAGATTAGGAATAGTTCAATGTTAGAGGAATGAGATTAGGTTAGGGTTAGATAGAATAAATAAATTAAATATAAAATATGTTTTAAGATACAATTAGAAAATCAGATAATTAAAGTTATAGTACTAAAAATATTTGAGATGTCTTCTAATTATTGTCAAAACATATAACTCTTAGTTTATATATATATATATGCTAAGAACTGTAAGTCCTTTGCTTTGTTTTAGTCATATGATATGATACTTTGTTTCAAAGATTTGGGCAAGTGCCGGATTTAAGCACTTTTGAAATGCATTTTTTTCATAGTTAATAAGACTATAGATATTTTTTACTAGAGAGTACATAGTAGAACTTTCCTAGCTTTAGCATTTGAAGAGTATGTGATAAAATCTTCTTAGCTTTGATAGTATTATATAGACTTCCGGGACATAAAATTTTTTAAGTTTATATTTACAGGGTTGGGATTACTTATGCCTACACTTTGGCTCATGAGTAATCTGCGCTTAACACTCTTGGTTAAGGTTTGCAGTAAGCTGTGAGCTATGGGTCCTTATGTCTACACGTTTGGCTCATGAGGTACCTGTCCAAGGGATTTAACCTCGAAGTTGCAGTAAGCTGCGAGCTCTGGTTGCTATGAAAGCAGAGCTTCAAGTGGCTATTCTGTACAAGTCTCTTTTAACTTGACAGGACTTTCTAGGTGCTACGAAAGCAGAGGCTTCAAGTGTGCTCTTCTGCAGTGTTGTACATGGGACATGTCCACACTATGTAAAATATCCAACGTCCAAAATTGTTCAAAATCGTCCAAGCCTATATCTCATGTTTAACTAATCAATAAAGTAATTTAAAAAAATATATAATTATATATTTTTTTAGATGCTGGACTTATTGGTGAAAAAATTAAAATAGATTATCTTAATAAAATTTTGAGTAATTTTAATTTGAAAAAATGTCCAAAATTGTTCAAAATTGTCCTATGTACAACACTGCCCTTCTGTACAAGTCCTTTTCAACTTGACAAGACTTTCAAGTGCGCTATTACTCCTTTAGTAATAGGCATTCACAAATAAATAAAATAATCTTTAGCAATAGGGGAGGATATCCAAGTTAATAGGTTCAATATTTTCAAGCTTCTTGGGAGATTTTCTATAATTCCAGAGGAGACTTTTTTTTTTAGGTTTTTGGTAGAGATTTTTAGAATTCCTGGGGGAGACCTTTTAGATTTCCGGTGAAAACTTTTTAGCTTTTCGCCAGAAGGTACCAAAATATTACAAGTGGGATAGCCTTCTTAATTTACTACCTGCAGCATAGCACATAGTGATAGGGATCTCTAATATAACAAGGCGAAATATGAAGCAGTGTGGAAGTGAAATGTTTTCTCACTAGAGCAGTTCAGTATATTCATTAGAAGTATAGAGACATGGTTTACTTTAGAACAAAAATATATTTATTTATTTATAATACAATGCCTAGATACAAAGCTATCTATAGGTATCTATTCTTATAGAATCCTAATATTTTAGAACATTGTAGAGAACGAATCCTCTAGTACAAGAAGGATAAAAGCTAGAGTTTATATAGCTTTTACAATATATATAAAAGATATAAAAAGTACTAAACATATAAAAGGTATAAAAGGTACAAAAGGTACAAAAGATATAAAATGTATAAAATGTATGAAAGGTACAAAAGGTATGAAAGGTACAAAAGGTATAAAAGGTACAAAAGGTATAAAAAGTACAAAAGGTATAAAAAGTATAAAAGGTATTATCTAGCTAACCAATAGTCTGTTTGTTATATATTGTAGCTTGTTTTGATCATTACAATCTTCTGAATTTAATAGAGATAAAATCTCTAATATGTTCTATAATGTTAACTCATTCTATAACAATATATTATGATATGCTATTATAAAGGACAGACATTATACAGTAGATTTTCTAGAGCAGTTTCACAATTTCATGACATTAAATAAACAAAATTCACAAAAAAAAAAACAAATAAATAAAATCCAAAATATGAGAAGCATATTTTGCATTTAAATTCATCCTGTGTTTTTCAAGTTTTTTCGAATTTTTTAAGTTGATAGACTTTACATTTAATTATGTCAAGAACTTTTGGATCGATCTTTAGATCGGATAGGTCGATATAATCAGATAGGCTTAGGCTGTTTGTAGCACCATCATTAGCATCTTCATTACTCTGGTTGTTGGTTTTATCCTACCAGTGTGCTATTGAAATAACTTTTGAAAGTCTGAACATTTCAAAGTTTCTATACTGTGAAACGGGTTCATATGTCCAAGAGAGAAAGCTTGTAAATTAAATAAAATAAAAAAAATAGTGATTACGATCAAGATTTAACTACAGTCGGTACTTGTCTAATAACCTCCCTAGCATGACCACCAAAATCAGTTATGTAATTGCTGTTTAAAATCTGAGATCTCATAATCCAGCACAAATTATATTATATCGATATATAACGGTAAAAAACTTTTATTAAGATATTATAATGATTTAAAAAATTTTATTATAAAGTTATATTGCGTAAAATTTAAAATTTTAATTATCAGTTATAAAAGATTTTATTGCGTAAAAAAAAATGTTCAAATATATACAATATTTATGAATTTTATATTTATTACCAATAGAAAGTATTCTTGTTTCGTTTATTCCAGGTTTTTTTTGCTTGATTCAAGATTTTTTATGTTGTCTACCATATTTTGAATCGTTTTGAAGTTTGATTCAATATTTTCAACTATTCTCTTTGCTGTGAAAGGTAATAAGGCTATCAAGCGTCTATATTAGAGTAATATTAATAATACTTTTATTATGTTATACATGTATAATTAATTCGATAGCAAATAATAAATAAGCTATACCTCATGAAGAGTTTTTTATGCTGATCGAACTTTTCAATTCTGTTTTATTTGGTTCGTTATTTTTTGCAATAATATCATTGTCAAAAATTAATTGTTATTGCTAAAGAAAGTTGTGCACAGTCAGCTGGCATGCGAATATTCTTCTATATCGTTTTTTCAGCTTCTTCAATTATTGAATAATTTGAATTCTCCGTTTTCAAAATAAATTATAAATGAATCTATCAAACATTCCTAAAGAATGTTACTGATGCTAATTTATTTTGTAAATCAACTCTAACAAGAATAACACCTCTACAATCATAACGGTCCAATCGTGACTCTGTGTTGCATTGCTTAGAACTATCTAAAACTTTTGTTTTTTTTTCTAGCTCTTGACGGCAATTACACCAATAAGTGAATGTCATACTTTTGTTTGTTTATTATAATTCTTCTTATGATAAACATAAGAGTATCCGTCACCTTTCTCACAGAGATTTACAATTTTAGTTGCTATTAAGTGATTCATCAATGTTTTCCTAATTTGTCGATGCGATCTGAAATATCCATTCGTATAAGTTTATTACAGTATTATAAACTACATCTTCAGGTCTATAGATTCTCTTGCATTTCACGGATATCCACAGTCTGCTCTTGAAGTTTCCGTTTTTCTTTATTTATACGGTTAAGCATTCGACACGTTTTTTTAATTATTTTCAAAATTAATTTACATTTTTTTGAATTCAATTGGACAGAATAATCGGCTTCAACTAGTTAAATTTTTACGAAATATAGTAAGAAAAGAAAATTTTTAAACAATCATTGTAACAAATACAATATTATAAACAGATATCGTCATAAATGACTAATATACAATTGCATTAATTTTCGGAAGATACAGCGATTACGTAACTGATTTTGGGTCTAATTGCATACTGTCTATAGAGATATTTTTTATGCATATAGACAATATATGCATAAGAACTATTTTTGCGTTAATACTGTAATTAAAAAAGTCCTAACCGGTTGTAAATTTCCTCCTTGACAAAAATCATGTGAGAGAGTTGAATTATTTTAGAAATTGATTGATCTTCTGACTGGTTTAGTTTAGTTTTTCGGACCCTATAAAAAATAAGTCCGGTTTTACACTAATTGGTGATCATTGAATACTGATTACATATAAGGGGACTAAGGGAAATTAAAATCTAAATTCCAACAAATTATCATGCCGAGAAATAATTATTCTTATGAAGATAACCGTCGTATTTGCCTTTTTCCTTTTCCAAGCTTCACTCAGTTCATAGAAAAGAAGCGAGATCTTGGGGTTTATGTTTCGGGCTGTCTGGTATAAATACTCTTCTCTTCGAAATATGTTTGCTTTTTAATGCTGCAAAGCATAAAGTATTCCTTGCATTTGTAAACTGCATTTGAATTTTAATGTTCCGTTTTAATTAGTTTGCCCTAGGCTGGTGGTTTTTCATTGATGCTGTGGTTCTTTCCAGCACAGATAATGATGGTCAAGCAGTAATAGGTTTCGAAGATTGGATGTGCGGGATTTCAAGTACTCTAGGAATGTTAATGTGAGTAAATGAAAAAAAAAAAAAGCTAAGATATTAATTATTAAATTGTAACCCTGTTTTGCTCCACTTGAGATGCCTTCTTATATGTACACAAATATTTATAAATTTATCTGTTCTTATATTATATAGCGTTAACTCAATTGATAAAGCTCGTCTCACAACTGACAGTTTTTATGGAAATAATGCTGCAACGAAAGCCCGCTTTCTTTTATTTGTAGGCTTTGCTTTGATGGCAGGAGGCTTGGCGGGATCAGTGGTATGTGCACTGGTAGAGTTAAGAAACCGGTTATTACAATGAAACTATTGCTAATACATTAAATTTCACTTGACAGACTATATTAATTCTCAAGCATATTGTGCCCGAAGTTGGTCCTAACCTTTATTTTGGCGTTGAGGAGGTTGTGCAAAATGTTGCCATAATGCTCAGGTATTCGTTTACCACAGCTGTGAAGCGTGATCATTTTTATACTTTTATCTAATCACTTCCTTGTTATAATTCTAGTTCGGTGGTGCTTTGGATTGCACAAAATGCAGAGAGTGAATATAATTATAACTATCTTATGTAGAATTAGGGTTACCATTCAAATTTTTGTTATAAATGTATTTTATTATATTTATTACTTTTGGTCAAAAGTGTCAAAGGAAATCTTATCAATTTTTTTACATTGTATTATTTCTTGTTGGAATAAATTCTATTGTCAATTTTAAAGTTTATCAAAAGCGTGTGTTTGATTAAATAAATTATTTATAATTTTTTTTTCAATTTTCTTTTTTAATTTTATTATAATTTTCTTTTTTAATTATAATTATTAAAATTTTTTTGCTATTACTTGCTATTTCCGAATTATTTTTTAATATTATATAAGGGGGATTAAGGTATTATGACGAAGTTAAATATTTTCGATCATATCATGTGATACATTGATCAAAATCGAATGATTTTGGTATCATCTAATTCGTCTTATCGAGCTGAGTTGAATGCTACCAAAATCATTCGATTCAGATCATTGGATAACAAATATTTAAAGTTGAATTATTTTAAAAAAAACAAGAAAATTTTGGCCGTGTGGGTATTGTGACGAATCGGGATTACCTTGTGATCCCGTGATCTCAATCGGATGAAACCTATACCATTCGATCCCTCTCTATGAGAGGAATCGAATAGTGTAAATTTCGCCTGATTCTGACCACTGAATCCCGATTCGTTATAATATCTTTAGCTATTATATTTTGTGTATTATGACGAAGGGATATTATGGTGAATCGGGGTTATCTCGCGATCCAGTAATTAGAAATGAACGAATTTGGTACCAATCGATTCGTCACAGTGAGACGAATCGAATGGTATACAAATCATCCAATTCTGACCGCTGGATCGTGAGATATGCCAAATTCGTCACAATAATGACAAAATGAATATTATGACGAATCAGGATTATCTCGCGATCCAGTGATTAGAAATAAACAAATTTGGCACCATTCGATTCGTCACAGTGAGACGAATCGAAAGGTATATAAACCATCCAATTCTGACCGCTGGATCATGAGAAATGCCAAATTCGTCACAATACCCACTTCGTCATAATACCTTAATCCCCCTTATGTTATACTTTTTTGTTATACAGCAAAAATATTTTATTTTATTTTATTTAGTTTTGCAGAATAAAGTACTCTTGATGTCAATAGTTCAGATCTTCCTTTTTGAATACGAATGTGATGTGAATTAATTCTGATGTTTTTTGTGTAAAAACATTCGCACCACATATGTACTTTATTCCGTAAAATACGGTACTTTTATAGGCTTTATATTAATTTACTAAGAATATTATAGTTATTCCTTGCATGTCACGCGTAATTCATCTAAAATTATAGAGGCCATATAACTGATAGGGCATCGATTTTTATTAAGGGCTTTATTTTTATAATCGGTTTCACTTAATTATTTATTCACTTAATTATTATCGTTTTATTAATGTATCCTATCTAGTCGTTAAAATCACTTAATTTTCTTAATCTAAAAATG